TATAATATAATAGCAAAATGTTGATATGGATGTAGGATTTACAACTTTGCATTTTGGGTGAGACTAAAGTGTTTTTTCTTGACAATTTTGTGAATGAAAATATGTTAGATATAAGATATCCTTTGTCACAGATTCAACTATAACATTTGTGTGTAGATTAAGTAGTTTGCGATTACTTGCGGAAGAACAAGTTAATACTTGTTCAAATCCTGGATTTGGCTTGAAACATATCGGCCTGCTGACGTATCCATATGTCAAATTTGAGTTGAATGTGTAATACCGTTGGGGAGATAATGAACAAAAACTGAAAATTTCATAATACTTTCAAAGTGAAAGGGGCATTACTCTGCAAAATATCATTAAACTATGACCAAATTCGAACTTGGCCTGCGCATTCCCTTAAGGTATCCATGCATATGTCAAATTTGAGTTGAATGTGCAATACTGTTGGGGAGATAATGAACGGAAACTGAAAACAAGTAAGTAAATAAAATTTAAAGTTATAAAAAATAATGTTGAAAGATAGAGAGGATACCCATTTATAACATTTGCCCATAACATGTTTTATTTCAGTGATCAATATTAAGATCTATATTGATACCTGCCAAAGAGCTATGCTCTTGTGACGTTGTCACATGAATACTTCCTGACAATTATATATTCCAAAGCTAAAAATTTCTGCTGTGGAGTACAATCATGTTCATACCCACTGACATGCCCTTAAAATTTTTTTTCAAGCACAGAGTGGTAAATATTTATCTCTATGCAATTGTCAAGGAGTATATATACTGACTGAAAACAACAGTAATTTTGGTTTTTAAATGATACCATAGGACAGAGGTGCCCCCACACTCCACTGTTTTGTCAATATTATGACTCATGTCAAATATTTGTTGGGCTACATGTGCCACAAGTTGAAAACTAATAATCTTTTACTAAGTTAAGGGCAAAAACTTTACAAATACTGAAGAAATCCACAAGTGAGCCCCAAGGTGCATAAGAACACATGCTGACCAACATTCTTGTAAACTTTTAGGCCTACAGGTCAAATAAGTTTCGAGCTATGCATGAACAAGTAGAAAATTGCAAATTTATACTAGTAAAGGGCAATAACTCTAACATAACTGAAAAAATCCACATGCAAAATCCCAGGTGCATTGCTTCACAGTGATGTTGATCATTATTCCTGTAAAGTTGGTTGATTCTAACTCAAGCACTCAAGGATTAAATAACACAACATAATGAAACAGTTTTTACTAAGTCAAGGGCAATTACTAATACTGGATAAATCTACAAGCAAAGGTGCACAACTACAGATACTGACCAACATTCCAGTAAAGTTTCATGACTAGATTAAATACTTTTTAAGCTGATTGATTGATTGGTTGATTGATTTTCTTTAGACCGGGCGGTCAAGGATAACCTACGAAAGTGCAAGCACTTATTTCCAGTAGGGTCCTTATCTCACCAGACTCTAGAGACAGCTATGAGATACAAGGGAATCCGGGAACCAGTCCCTAGCTCTTATTGAAAAGACCCCTTGGTTCTTTTACATGCCCAGTGTATAGCACTGATAAATGCGAGGATTACCTGGGTTTCATACCAGTTAACCTCTCTATGCATGACACAAGTAGAAATTTGCAAATTTTCACAAGTCAAGAGCAATAACTCTGACAAAACATATAAATTCACAAGTGAAACCCCAAGTGCACAACTACACATGCTGAGCAACATTCATGTAAAGTTTCATGACCCTATGTCAAATACTTGACACAAGTTGAAAATTGCAAATTCTTTTTAAGTCATTAGAACAATAACTCAAATACTAAATAAGTATACACAAAAATAACCAGGTTCACAGCTACACATGCTGATCAATATTCCTGTAAAGTTTCATGACTCTAGGTCAAATAATGTTTAAGTTACTTGCGACACAAGTTGAACATTGCAAATTTTTACTAAGTCAAGGGCAATAACTCTACAAATACTAAATAAGTCCACATGAAAATAACCAGGTGCACAATTACACATGCTGATCAATGTTCCTGTCAAGTTTCATGACCCTAGGCCAAATACTTTTTGAGCTATGTGCGACTAAGTCAAGGGCAATAACTCTGACAAAACAAAATAAATCCATAAGGGAAATCCAAGGTGCAAAATTAGTCCACCAAAAACCATCATAAAATCATAACAATGTAAAGCTGAAAACAATGTTTAAAATACATGTCGGGAAGTCTTAATCATTCTGTTTTCAATGATGTGATTAAATGATTTAAAACCCCTTATATATAATTTTCTCAACACAGTTTATGACTGTCGTACTAAGTCAACATAAAGTTTAAACATTTACATACCAATAAACTAGGGAAGATAACAACTCAACTTTTCAGCATGGTGGGAAAGAACAACTTTAAATTTAAACAAGAACGTGTTTGTTAAACACAAATGCTCCCGGCTCAGATTCTTGTCTGTAGCAATATTTCAAAAAATGTTTACCCATTCACTCAGTTATGGACAGAAAAATTGCCAAAAAATTGTAAACACAAGTTATATAGCTTGACAAAGTCAAAACATTTTGTTATTGTGAAAAATATAAGTTGCCAAGTTCATGCAAGTTATCTTCCAACCAAATATGAAATACATCTGTCATTAAATAAAGGCTGTATGGGCAAAAGTGTAAAAATCTATTTTAAGCACTGGTGACCTTGACCAAACTGACCCCTAACTCTATCCAAAAGAAGAATACCATGTAAGTTATCTTCCTACCAAATATGAAATCCATCTGTCAATAAATAAAGGCTGTATGGGCAAAAGTGTAAAAATCTATTTTTAGCACAAGTGACCTTGACCCACTGATCCCTACCCCAATCAAAAGGATGACTACCATGCAAGTTATCTTCCTACCTAATATAAAATATACCTGTCACTTAATAAAGGCTGTATGAGCAAATGTGTAAAAATCTATTTTTAGCACTGGTGACCTTGACCCAACTGACCACTAACTCCATCAAAGTTTATGTTTCTATCAATTATAAATAACATCTGTCTATAGAATAAGGTCAATACACCTGTAAAAATGTAAAAATCTATTTTTAACATTGATGACCTTGACATAAGTAAAATTGACCTTGACCCAAATGACCCCTTACTACACCCAAAGAAGGAGGACCTCCCTTGGCATGTTTGTATTAAACTAAGACATCAACTAAAAAATAAAGGCTGTATGAGCAAAAATGTTTATTTTTTAAACCAGTGACCTTGACCCTAGAGACCGCTTACTCCACAAACAAGAGCTGTCACAGGAGACAGCGAAGCTCGACTAATAAAATACTGGACACAGTAAGGAGGACAAAACTATGAAAGAAAAATCAATTATGTATAATTATGTATTAAGTTATAGTAAAAAAATAACATTTGTTAACATAAATTCCAAGATCAAGGGGAATAATTCTAGAAATAGTCATGCTAGAGTTATGGACCTTGCCACACAACATTTGTGTAATGATAAGAAATATATATTTGAAGTTTGAAGTAGATACCTTAAAAAAAAAGAAGTTATTGTATTTCTTAAAGAAAATCCTAAGTTCAAAGAGAGATAAATCTGTAAATATTGCTTCAAGAGTTATGAACATTGTCACATAAAATGTAATTGATGATAAGGAATAAGTATTTGAAGTTTGAGGTAGATACCTTTAAAAATAAAAAAGTTAAAATAAAAAATAACATTTTTCTAGTAAATTAATCTAAGTTTATGGGGAGATAATTCTTGCAATATTGATGCTAGAGTTATGAACCTTGTCACATAAGATGTGGATGATGATAACGTAAATATATTTGAAGTATGAAGTTGATCCCTTTAGAAATAAATAAGTTAGAGTAAAAAATAATATTTTGTATGGAAAATTCTAAGTTCAAAGGGAGATAAATCTGAAAATATTGGTGCTAGAGTTATGAACCTTGTCACATAAGATGGGGATGATGATAACGTAAATATATTTGAAGTATGAGGTTGATCCCTTAAGAAATAAAGAAGAAATAGTATTTTTTGAGGAAAATTCTAAGTTCAAGGGGAGATAAATCTGAAAATATTGGTGCTAGAGTTATGAACCTTGTCACATAAGATGGGGATGATGATAAGGTACATATATTTGAAGTATGAGGTTGATCCCTTAAGAAATAAAGAAGTATCAGTAAAAAATAGTATTTTTTAAGGAAAATTCTAAGTTCAAGGGGAGATAAATCTGAAAATATTGGTGCTAGAGTTATGAACCTTGTCACATAAGATGTGGTTGATGATAAGGAACATATATTTGAAGTTTGAAGTTGATACCTTAAGAAATGACAAAGTTATAGTGAAAAATATTTTACTGCACCAAAACTTTAATCTAAAATCTGGACGCGGACGCCGACGCCGACGCCGACGCCGACGCCGGGGCGAGTAGGACAGCTCTCCATATACTTCGTATAGTCGAGCTAAAAATTAGAGGACCATCAAAGGTATCCACCTACTAAATATGAAAGATATCATTAAAGAAATTAAGCAATTAGGAGAAATTTAAGATAAATCCAACTTGCCGAAATAGGTTAACCAGACAAGGCCCTATTTTCAAAGTGAAAAAAGGGAAATAACTGGGAAATATGGATGATACAGTTATATAACTTGGCAATCTCATGTACTTTGTTTTGATAAGTAAGTGTGGAAATTATAAAGCCATTAGTATAGATAGAACTTAAGATATTTCCAACTTGCCGTTTTAGGTTAACCATTATTCATTTTCTAAGTGCTGTAAAGGGCAATAACTTGGTAAATATGAAAGCCAGAGTTATGTAACTTGCCCAGATCATGTACTTTGTATTGATTAGTAAGTGTGTAAACTTTGAAGCCAATGGTACAGGTAGAACTTAAGAAAAATCGAACTTGCCGTTCTAGGTTAACCTCGTACGGACGGACGGATGGACGGTTCAATTACTATATGCCCGGGGGCATAAAAATCAGGACATTTTTATACTCTTAACAGTTAAAATACTGATTGAAAAACACAATGCTAAAATTTAATACAATCTCGCACACTAGACACTTTATTTACGAAATAAATGACTGGTTTAAACGTTTAACAGTGCTATAAACTTTAAACTTGTAACTTTACAATGTTATCAGTGTTATAAAACAAGGACATTAAAAACAGAGCAAACAGTCCACGTATCCAATATCAACAGCAAAATATTTACATTAGAAACCTGTGAGACAATTTGAGGATTACAATTTCAAGGTATGTAATATTTTTATTAAATATCTTAATGTCTACAAAAAATTACTCTCTCACAACTAGTGAGCATTATTATTTTATAAAGTATTTTTTTAAAAAGGAAGTTCAATTAAATATACATATATTTTGATGCACAAAGTCATGGTATTGAAAAACTTCTGGACTGAGTTATTTTTGCATGCCTTTTAATTATATCTATATTTGTAATCAGACCTGTCAGTGGACAGAGCGCTCCACTTTTCTAATTGCACTATAATATAATTCAATAAAATCAACAAAGAAAAGAAGGGGTATAATTCTGTAAATGTGATTAGCATACTAACAAGAATTTCAAGTGAATACATTTTTCCATTTTTTTGGTTATAATATAATTTTAACATCAAATATAAGCTTTTAGGATTATCTTTTGAAACTCAAAAATTAGGCACAGCATAGTTACGGTTGGGGCCTATGGATTGTAGAGTTTTTGGTTGGAGTCTGTTTTGGCATAAAAGGTCAATCTTATCTTGATGTTTTAATTTCAGACCTTTTAGATTTTAATTTACCTTTTACATCACCTTATAATACATGGCCGGATAATTATATTGATATTAAATACTTAAATCAACTAAGTTAATTGATACGTACACTATGACATCATACATTAGATACACTAGAAATAAGTTCGTCCATGGCCACGAATAGAACGCCCCACATGGCAGCCCAAAATTTCAGAGTTATTAATACAGTTTAGTCCTTACGGAAATTGGTGCATCAAAGTATTATTTGTTCTTAAGAGTTCAAAGCCTTAAAACTAATTCAGAAAATTTAACACAAACCATTTATACAAAGGACTGAAACGTCACTATCAGTGTATAATCCTTTGCAGACATTGCATACTTTGTAGCCAGAATAATGGCTAAATACCATATTCCACAAAAGTATGGGTGATGGGAGTGGTGTGGTGTCCCGAGGGGGAAAGAAATATATATTACTGAATCCGGATAGAATAATTGAGAACTGTATTTTAAACTCAGTAATACTTCTATCAATATATTTCATTTCATCTTCAACAGTGGTAAGTTATAAATGATTAACATTTTCGAGTCCAACTACAAACCACTTTCATTGAACGCACAACCCACAATTCTCAAGTAACTTTGAAACTACGGTTACATCGAGCATAAGTACAGTCATGTTCGAATAATGTATGTATCTATATGTGCATCAATGATTTGTTGAAGTGATTTGAAGTGTGTATATGAGACGTCGAGCTGCCGAGATATGAACGGCAAATTATAGCAAAATTTATCATCTGATTTTTTTCAAAGTTCAAGAGGCGATAACTCTCTTCAGACTAAATCAATCATAACCATAGACACAAAATTCTAAAACTTGACAATAAATTCTTATGACATAGTTCTCATACTCTTGTTTCAATTTGATTATAGATTATCATGTACACACTGTATGCGGAGATGAGATGAAATAGGGAACTTACATACATTAACAAATTTCACTTCTTCTTTATTACAAAAGTTAAAAGCGAGGCTAAAGAGATCTCGATAACCATGTAACTAAAAGAGTTCGATGACCTGCGCAATATAACCCAGACAGTAGTGTATGATAGAAAGCTGATAATATCTACTAATATTTTCAAAGTGAAAGGGACATAACACTGCCAAAATCATCGAACCACGACCAAATTCGAACTTGATCTGTGCATTCCTTTACCATATCCATATGTCAAATTTAAGTTGAATATGTAACACTGTTGGGGAGATAATAAACAGAAACTGAAAATTTCATAATATTTTCCAAGTGTAAGGGGCATTACTCTGCAAAAAATCATTGAACCTTGACCAAATTCGAATGCCTGCGCATTCCTTTTACGTATCCAAATGTTAAATCTGAGTTGAATGTGTAATACTGTTGGGGAGATACTGAATGGAAACTGAAAACTTCATATTATATTCCAAGTGAAAAGGGCATTACTCTGAAAAAAATAATTGAATTATGACTAAATTCGAACTTGGCCTGCGCATTCTCTTAACGTATCCATATGTTAAATTTGAGTTTAATGTGTAATACTGTTGGGGAGATAATGAATGGAAATTGAAAATTTCATATTATATTCCAAGTAAAAGGGGCAAAACTCTACCAAAAATCATCAAACCATGACCAAATTCGAACTTGACCTGCGCATTCCTTTGATGTATCCAAATGTCAAGTTTGAGATGAATGTGTAATACTGTTGGGAAGATAATGAACGAAAACTGAAAATTTCATATTATTTTCAAAGTGAAAGGGGCATAACTCTGCCAAAAATCATCTTACCATGACCAAATTCAAACATGACCTGTATTTTCTCATGACATATCCATATGTCAAGTTTGAGTTGAATGTGTAATACCGTTGGAGAAATAATGAATGGAAACTGAAAATTTCATATTATTTTCAAAGTGAAAGGGGCTAAACTCTGCCAAAAATCATCAAACCATGACCAAATTCGAACATGACCTGTATTTTCTCATGACATATACATATGTCAAGGTTGAGTTGAATGTAATAAATACCGTTGGAGAAATAATGAACGGAAACTGAAAATTTCATATTATTTTCAAAGTAAAAGGGGCATAACTCTGCCAAAATTCATCGAACCATGACCAAATTCAAACATATCCATATGCCAAATAAGAGTTGAATGTGTGCAACTGTTACTAAGTTAATGAACAGAAACTAATGATGACAAAATGACAGAATGACGGTACAGGGTAACACTTTATGCCCCAGCCATTATATGGTGGGGCATAATAAGCAATATAATATTCTTCATGATTGCAAAATATACTTTAAATAATTAACATGTACTGTTCCAAGTAAACCATTATTTACGTTAAAAATATTTTACAAAAACAATTAAATGAAGATAAACATAATACATTGATGCCCCCACCTTCCACTGTTTTGTTAGTCTTTGGAAGGACATACCAGCAGGACAGCATCCCTTACCAAAATGACTTTAAGTGACTTATATGTTTCTTATATGCAACTTATACTTGACCTATAAGAGAACTATAAGTTACATATAAGTCACTTATAAATCACCTAAAAACCTGTCTAAGTCAGTTATAGGTATATGCTACATATAAGTCACTTTTGGCCATTTTTTCCCCAACATATAAGTCACATACAAGTCACCTATATTAGTGCCTTATACTGGTGAAGTTTAAAGTAACCAGTTTCTATGTTAGATATAAGTGAAAACTTAGAACTTTTGCGAGACTTTTTATTACTGAGCAAAGCTGAAAAAATTACTAAGTACAAAAACATGAGAAAATTGGTAAAATTTATTGAAGTTGATTTGTAATTCTTTGCTTTAACACAATGGGTATCAAAATACTCAGAATTTAAAATACTATAATCTTAGACCTTAATCACAAACAATTAAGATTTTTTTTTAAATGTTGCTTATTAATTTTTGAACACAGCTGGGGTTTTTAAATAAGATAATAGAAAAAATGATTATCAATTAAGTATATTACCTGTAAAAAATTTTGGTACATATTCTGTGCGGAATTGGGACAGAAATGGCATTCAATCAGTGATTTCTAGGCTACCATGGACAGAAATGAAATTCCATGTCATTTCTTTTCACAAGGAAAATATTTCACATAAAAGTCACACAAGGCATAATTCTACTTTTGTTTTTTTTCTAACTTGAAACAGACATTGAAATCTATATGTTTTTACCTACTGTACTTCTTACAGACCTAATTTCGCTGAAGTAAGATATTCTAACAAGAAAAAGAGGTGTATTTTTTTTTTAATATACAAGTGTTATTTTTAAGACATTTAGGCCTAGTGTATTTTAGATATTTAAACATTAAAAAAAACAGTGCTTGAAATAAACAGTTTATATTGCCCTTTTAATATATATAAAATCAAGGAACCAATATGCCTGAAGATTGCTTATATTTTCTACATCCACTGATACACCATATAGATCAGAGGTCTGATAAAACTGGCCACCTGCCTTTGCCACCATATGTGCATGACTAATTTTTTGACTGGTCATTCCTACAAATCAGACTGTTCAATGTGATTATTTTGGGGAAAGATAACATTTCCTATCCTGAATTTGTAAAAAATGACATTGCATTTTCTTTTTCAAAAATGTATAATGATTTTTAAACTTTACATAACTATTAGTTATTTGATTTTTTTTCACATTCAATGATTGTAAGATAGAACTGATGAGTGCTTTGATTTTTGGATTTATCCTGTTGCACATAACATTGGACCTGCCCAGGTACACAGTTGTAAGTCTGAAACATTTAGCTTAGCAATCTGGTGGAAATCACAGAGAATCTACTTGATGTTTTAGGAAATTTAGAGATATTGTTTTGTTTAAGATGTTTAAGTATAGTTATGGTAAATAAGAATCACCTTGGACAAGAAGATATACAACAAAATCAGGTAAATACCTTTGAGTTACATTTATGCAGAATTGATACAGGTTATATATTAAACAATCAAAGTAAGATGGCAGCAAACTAAAATTTGTAACTTGAGAGATCAAGGCTGTTTTTATTTTAGATTTACTAATACTTGTAATTGATTTAAATCTAGATTTAATAGTCAAATTAATTGAATTATTAGAACTAAATAGTACAATCAGTAGTTTTATGCAGCTGAATAAGACAGGGTCATCATAATCATTTAACATTTTATTGTTGTTTTCAATGGAGAAATCTGATATTACAATTTACATACATTGCAGGCTAGTGGGACCAGTTCTTACTTTGAGATGCCAGGTGAATAATGATATGCAGTATTGAGCCTGGAAAGGTATGTTTTTTTTTAATCTCTATACTTACTGCTCTAAATCTTTTACAGAAAAGAGCATAATAAATGTTGTTGCAAATAGTGCTGTTAATCAATTCTTATAGAGACTTTTAGCAATTCTTAAACAACACTGTTGACTTGTGCACTAAAATGAAGATACTGTGTAACTTATATATTTGTATATGCATAAGTATTAAATAGCTAATATAGTTTGATGATATACAAAATATGAAATATAACTGCATTTACAATGGTCGGAATTTATTTCCACATCTTTTTTTAATTAATTATGAATTTTATCTTTAAAGGTGAAACACAGCCACATGAAGTTCTCCGAGGGAACAGAATCAGAGCACTGAAACAGACATCAATAAAAAGAAATAGTAGTTTGAATAATCAGAAACATTTGATCAAATTTATGATTTGAACAGTTCCTCACCGACAGACTTCCAGCAAAATAATTGTATAAATAAAGTGTTTGATTCCAAGAAAACCAGTAAAAACAAAAACTTGCTGTTATAAATGAATATTGTTTTTGTTATAGTGAATGTAAGATGATTGAACTGAAGGATATGTATGTTGAATTTTGTATTTTGCTCATTTATATGACTATGAATATAAATTAATAAACATTTTTTGAAATTAAAATTACTAAACTTTTATTTTATTTCAAGCTTTTTTGACATCAAGCAACATATATGCGACTTACATGTGACTTATATGGTTACTTTATAAGTGACTTATATTGAGTCACTTATATGTAACATATAAGTCACTTATATGTAACATATAAGTCACTTATATATTTACTTATAAGTTGAGCATATCTTTGACTTACATGTCACATATTTGTGACTTATATATAACTTATACTTCACTTATATGTCAAAATGCCAGACATATACTGCACTAACATCTAATTTGCATTTAAAATACTTGACTTATAGGTGAATTGACTAAGTGAAGTATAATCTACATATAAAATAGCCTATAAGTGACTTATAAGTGAATTCCGTAAGGGATGATAGATGGACAGATAAAGGCAAATGTAGATCACCCATCCAACAGAATTAAATGAGGATAAACATAATATATTGATGCCCCCACCTTCCACTGTTTTGTCAGTCTTTGGAAGAACACAGCATGATAGATAGATGGACAGATAAAGGCAAATGTATATCACACCTACATATAGAGGCGGCATACAGAAAAGCTTTTAATAACAAGAAATGTCATACCACACATATGTCCCACTTTCTAGCCATTGACTCATACTATTGGTAATTTTGATTTAGGAACTTGCCATAAATGGGTACCTGAAAGTGTTCAGCTAAGGTATAAAGAAAAATAATGACCTACTAGTTATAACCAATCAGTATGTTAAATATAAAGACCTTGACCTTTGAACTAGTGACCACATTATGACTAATCAGTATGAGAAATATGAAGACTTTGTAATAAAAAGTTTTCAAGGTAATCAGTGGAAACTATTCTTAAATTTAAGGTCGCTTTGACCTTGACCTTTCAACTAGTGAGCCTAAAATCTATAGGGGTCATTAACTAAATATGACCAATCAATATGTGAAATATGAAGATTTTGTAATAGATAGTTCGCAAGATAATTAGCTGAAACCATTCTAGCTTTTTTTTAAGGCACTTGTGGCATTGACCTTTGACCTATTGACCCCAAATAGGGGTAATTTACAAGTTATGAATAATCAGTTGGTTAAATATGAAGACTTTGAGATTTTGTTTTAATTTGTTTGTTTCATTTTACGCCTTTTCCCAACAGTATTTCAGTCATATAGGCAGGTAGTTTCCTAACCATCGCTTCCTGGAGAGTTACACCAGTACTAAAACTACCTTCCTCCGCGCTAAACTACAAAGCATTCTCCCGGGATCTAACCCACGCCAGAAGGTAACTTGGATTAGGAGTCATTGACTCTAACCCCTCGACCACGGAGGCGGTTAAGACTTTGTGATAATGAGTGAGTGGAAACCATTCTGACATTTAAGGCCCCTATGACCTTGATGTTTGACCTAGTAATCCCAAAATCAAAAGGGGTCATCTACTAGTTATGACCAATCAGTATATGTAATATGAAGATTTTGTGATAAATAGTTGAAACCATGTGGTCTACTGACAGACAGACTGACCGATCAAATAGCAAAACAATATACCCCCTCTTCTTGGGGGCATAATTATATACCATAACATCAACTTTCATCACAAATAAAACAAGTCAAAAATATGAAATGAACAATGTATATTTCTTTGAATATTTTCCCAACAAAAATCCACAAAAAATCATTTAAGTAAGTATAAACTAGACTTTATCTTTGTGTCAAATCATCGATGAATCTCAAGTTTTATGGTTTTGAAAACATGCAATACATAGTAATCTATAGATATTATCAAGAACTTGGAAAATGAGGGTTTTTCCCAGCTAATCTGTTGGTACATACAAACTTTTACCGTTGTAGTTTTATGGTATACTACTCAACACAATAGATTAGTCAACCTGATGAGCTTATTTTCAAAGCTGTAACTGTAAAAGTTTGTTTGTACCTATGGAATAGCTGGGAAAACCCAAAATATTCTTAATTCAGGAGTCTATATTATTATATATATTATAATACTTTTCAGGTAAAACATGGCAGTCCCAGGAAAGAAAGCATCAAATCAATTTTCATCATCAACAGCATCCATGGCATCAGATGAAGATCTTCAAATTTACTGCCAGCCTTGTGACGAGGAAGGAACTAGACTACCTGCCCATGGTTACTGCACTGACTGCAAGGAACACCTTTGTAAGACATGCTTTACAGCCCATAAAATAAGTAGGCTTTCCAAACATCATAAACTTCAGGATGCTACGAATATGCCTAAAGTTTTGCAGCAACCGTCACCATCCATTCACACAGGCCAGTCTGATGACCTAACTACATCCTGTCTTAAACATTCAAAAGAACTGATCAAATTCTACTGTCATGATCATGTCGAATTACTCTGCAGTGTTTGTGTTACCCTTGAACACCAAACTACTTCCTGCAAAGTTGATTATATACCAGACATTTCTGGTGATATATTAGACAGCAAAGAATATCAAGTTATCTTGAATGCAGTAAATACCACTTCTGACAAATTTCAACAGATATTAAAAGATGTCAAGAACATGACATACAAATCAAACAGCTCTCTCAAAGATGCATTAGTTGACATTAAAAAGTTTCGACAAGAAATCAACCAAAGACTAGACGAACTTGAGAGACAAACTGAAGATACAGCTAAAGTCATAGAACAAGAAAACAACAAACATCTGAAAGCAGCAGAAACAACATGTGAAGATATAACAAAATCCCTGAAGATATCATCAGACAAAATGAAACAGCTCAACACAACAAAACAAGCTGACAAACTCTTCATTGATTTAAAACTTGCAGAGAATAAAATCAAAGTTATGAAGGAAAAACTACTAACACTGTCATCATTTGATATCAAAGAGTACAACTTTCAATCAAATGATGTAATATCAAATCTGTTCAAAACAGAGAAGTCACTGGGGACATTGACACACAAAACTTTAAATACAGAATGTCAACCTGTACAAATAAAGTCTAGACAATCTTCACATGAGGGAATAATCTGTGTGGAGACATCAAAAGATGAATACATGTGCTGTATATCAGGAATGACTCTGCTGACTCCTGATCTTCTTATCATCACTGACCGCAACAACAATGCTGTAAAGATGGTGGATACCAGCAGTCAATCTGTGTCTGATCAACTACAACTAGATGATGCACCATGGGATATCACCACAGTAACCAGTACTGACCTTGCTGCCACACTTCCTGCCAAACACTCAATACAGTTTATATCAATCTCATCAAACAAACTCATAAAGAAGCACACTGTGAAGGTTGAAGGAGAATGCCGTGGTATAAGCTGTTACCAAGGTAAACTTGTTGTGTCATTTGCTGATCCAGCAAAACTTCAGATCCTTGACCTGAATGGCGTAATACAAACAACAATTGATGGTAATAATATTTTCAAAGAGCCATTTTATATCACATGTAACAGAAGTTCTATCTATGTATCTGACAGTGGCATGAAGACAGTGACAAGATTAAACTGGCAGGGTGATGTGATAGGTAGATATAGTGGTATAAGTGATCCTAGGGGAATGTCACTGTCAGATGATGGTACTGTATTTGTGTGTGACTGGGTGAGACATGTTATAGAAGAGATATCAGGAGATTGTTCTACAGGAAATGTGGTGTTGAAGGATCTGAAAGGTCCATATGCTGTATGCTGGTGTGAAGAAACAAAGAAGCTGTATTACAGTGGTTGGACAAATATTAATGGGATAGATAACAACTTTCTTCACACCTATAAACTATCATAAACATGAGCAAAATGTTCAGATGATTTGACTATATCTACACACATACTATATATGCTTAGATGGGCACTTAAATCCAATATAGTAATACTTTTCTATTTAGTGTTTTTAAAAAAAGAATAAATGAATGTAAGCAGATTTAAGTTTATTAACTAAGGCAATGTTAAATTACTCTGGTCCTGTGGTATGGAACAACATACCAATACATGTTCGAAATTCTGTCCCTGAGGAAATTTCAAGCCTCCTATATCCAATGGCAATTTTCAAACTAATCGAATGTACATATTGTTTCCAAAAACAACAATTCAATGTATAAAATAAAAAGTATAATAAAAACTGTTATTAGAACAGCCCTATATAAATGTCTAATTCTTCAACATTGATCTACTTTTTTGTACTTTCCATGCTGAAGTTATGAAAATGTCACTTCTCTATGTAAGAAGAAAAAATGTTTACTTATTTATTGTATTGATATGATGTTTATAATGTACATATTTTGTTGTCTAAATGTTGATTGTGATTGTATTTTATGTTGTTTTGTATATACTGAGGCCCGCTTGGAAGATCGGGAAACTGAATGTGTTAGCCTCATTGAATAAAGTCTTAACTTACTTACTTACTAATTACTGTGTACCCCAAAGTCCCCATATTAAATGCTTTTCACAAATTTTTTTTTTTTTTATTGCCGATTCTAATAAATCAAAATCAAAAGACTCAGGTACCATCCACAAGTAACCAGAAAAATGTCTTTGTTTAGGAATTGTTTTAGTCATATACCATTGAAAATCAACCTAACCAGCCTTTCTGGATAACTAATCAGTTATAATCAATTTCTATGAAAGTGATTAACTACTAATCCTATGATATATTTGAATCAGTGGTGGGAGAAATATGACCATTAGACTCAATTTGAGTGACCAGTTGTCATTGAGAAATAACGCCTCCCCTGGGGATGGCACCGGGGACCTTTAATTACTAATCTGATGCTTTCCATATGGAGCTTAGTGAGCAGACAACACTTAACCAATGTTTTAACCCTTTAACCTGCTGAATTAGTATAATGGACTTTCAGCTTCCATTTTTCGAACTGTTCATTATCAATTATGGGGATATCAGGACAAAAATTTACAATTAAGTCACCCAGCAGACAGCAGTATAGAGCCTGGCCAGACTGCTTGGATATACAGGCTGGTCTGGCTCTATACAAGTTGCTAATGCCCCGGTCACATATTCACGGATAATGCCACGGAAGAGCTACGGTCTAATCGTTCACGGATTACTACGGAAAAGTGAAATTCCGTAGTCCGCTACGGTTCCAGTACGGACACACAACGGTATGAGTACATAGTCCGACGGATTTACCACCAAAGTCCCCCAGAGACACGGATTGCTATACGGACCGACACGGTTTAATACGGAGCGACACGACGCACTACGGATACACTACGGTCTGCAAGCACTTCGTTTTATGTACATATTTACTCCATTTTTACGATCTAATGTTTGTAAAATATGTAACATTAAATGTTATGTAATTATATTTCTTATGAATTGTAGTACGATATTAATATAAATTTACTTCTATGCATGTCATCAAGCAACTTGACCACTGCCTCCGCATTCTCAGCCATTTCAATATAAAGTTGCAGCCAGTAAATGGCAATTATCATTTATTAAATGTTTGTGCAAATACATAATGTCTGTTTTTAACAAGAAGGTAGTATTTATACACTTGAAAAAGTACATGATACTTAATTCATCCGTACTAAACAGTGGTGGGCCGTACCATTCCGTACCTTTTCGTGTTGCAACGCAATAAACCGTATAAAACCGTGCTAATCCTTGCCTCTCCGTAGTACTACGTATTACGATCGTGGCTTTCCGTGGCAATGCCGTATTAATCCGTATTAAACCGTAGCTTATACGTAGGGTAACTGTACAAATACGTAGTTCTCCGTACCAAACCGTGGAAATCCTTGACAAGTTGGTGGACTACGAATCAGTACGGACTATTACGGTTTTCGTACAGACCAGTACGAATCAGTACGGATTAATACGGACTAGTAGGGATACGCTACGGTTGATTTTTCCGTAGCCAATTTTTGTGCATGTTCAAAAATTGTCAAGGATCGCTACGGATATACAAGGACTACAACGATTGATTACGGTTTCAATACGGACAGCTACTGACCAGTACGGGTAGCTACGGACGATGCCGGAATTAATCCGTGGCTCTTCCGTGGGCGTATTCCGTGAATATGTGACAGGGATATTAGGCTTATCAAATTTTGGTTTCAGACAGGTTTCTAGGGTTATACTTTGTTGGTTTAGTTTACACAAATAAATTCAATTTTGATTGTGTTGAAAGCTATAAGTTTATTAAAACATTGTTGAATCCGTTCCTGAAACCAACCAGTATTTCAGTAGTTCACTGACTTGCATATATTTTTATTGAAAGCAGTTAATACGGGGAAGTCAAAGACCGGGCCCGCGAAGCGGGTCCGGGCTTTGGCTTGCCCGGCTATAGACTACATGTGTATATTTAAAAGAAAATCAAATAAAAAACAATTAAAAATAAATATAGAATTCTATACCTATCAATGAAATTTTCAGTGTCAATTCTAGTTGAGCGCCGCCATTTACAATGAAACTCAATGATAATAGGCGGGGTATTCCGATAACGGAACAAATCTCAACTTTTCGGATCAATAATAATCGTCGAGTGTTCCGAGTGAAAACGGAAGCGGTGCAAATAATACCGAATGACACCTTTAAAACGGAAAGAATGAAAGGATTTTTTAACGACTTCCCCGTTTATAGGCTTTGCCTAATTTCATATTAATGTCTTAATTTATTATGCTGTAATTATATCAGCGAAATTTTGATTTAAATGCATCCTGTGCTATACTATGGTAACTAATGCATAAGTATAATAAGTTAACAAACTCATAATTGTTGGTATTACATATTAATAACTGAATTCTGTGTGTATTTAATTACAAATGAACATTGCTCATCATTTTACATTGAATAATTGAGACAGCTGTTGTTATAATAACTTACACAATGTATGACCATTGAGATACTATTTTTTCACCCAATAAAACAGCACAAGCATGAAAACAATCATTGGCGACGCCGGTGAGCGGCGTCGTCTTTTATGGAATGCTTTTTATTTTGGCCTATGGAAGGAGCTGTTATTATTAGCAGTTAATTTATTGTTGTGTTAATTATATTTATTTTGATTCGTAAAAATCAAGTAAACAAATATGTTGTTATATTTGTATTTAATAACTTTATGTAAAAAGCATGTGCATTGTGATGTTATTTTCACGAAATTGCAGACTCTGATTAACAGCTTGTCCCTTTGTTTTATTGACAATACTAAAACCCGGATTTCGAATATCGTTGTGGTCTACATTGATGCTCATTCATTTATATATTTTCAAAACTTTCCTACAAGAAGAAAGTTCACCTGCAAATGAGTATTAGGATAGGTAATGGACTGTTGTAAACGATTATCCTATTGATTTTATCCATATTACGTTTATCTGTTGAACAGAATGGTTGTTTTTACAAAGTGTACCAGTATCCAGATGTTGACAGCTATCCGATTTTCTGCAATTACTGCTGTCACATGGCCATCTACTTTTTTTATGAATACTTTACCATTAATTTGCATGGCATAATTAAAATGAGCCTGCAACATTTCTTAATTTTGATGTTTAGGGTGTTCTTTTGGGTTTCATGTTTTCTTTATTTCAAGGGGAAGTAACTCATGTTTACTAAATTATTTGTTCTTTTCTGTCTATCTTAGGTATTACTTACAATTTTTGTTTTTATAAAATTTACCAGTTGTAAGGTCATCAAAAGCATAGAGGCCCTGATGAGTGACTATTGATATATATATATACTTTTACTGGCTTTATATACCCAATATTTCATATTTATTTAATAGAAACTTGGAATTATTAATGTTATGTGCATACATTTATATCTTAGTATATTGGTATGATGAGACTTATAATATTTCTGAATTTAAAGAGTTGCAGTTATGTCATTATTATTAAAGGGATGAGACTTTCATTTAAAGTTATAAATGATAATCATAACATGTATTGATTGAAAATGTCCTGAAACTTGGATCAAGCAATATAATTGATATTAAAAGCCTCAAAAAATCATTTTCTGAATAGTTATTCTAATTTTTTTCTAACATGTGCATAGTTTGAAAAGGACAGCTTCTGCCTTATCTAATGTAATGGAGGGACACCGGTCTCAATCTCCAGGTCTCCTGAGTCAACCCGACAACAGACTTTTCATAGAGTTAAGATTGCTACTTGTCCTTGAATAAATTTGTACACTAAATTTTATAGTGGGTGATTTGTGCCACATGAAAACCAACAAAGTACAAAAAGTAACCGGGCGCCAGATGAAAACATGAAAATACAATCTACAACAAAGTGGTTCGTTTGTTGCATTTTCATGTTTTCGCCCGGTGCCCTTGATGTAAAATACAAATCAGCCTTCATAAAATTTCTTATCATAGATATTGTACATGTATTAGCACAGTTATATTCACTTTCAAATTGACCTGTTATAAATAATGGCACAACCAATAACTGTCTTAGCCCTTTTTAGTAAAAATAATTATACAATAATAATTATATAAATTGTTATTTTAATTAAGACTATGAGTATGTAAGGTTTTTTTTTCTTATTTATTAATTAGAATTAATTATCTGTTAATTTAAAAATCTAAATATCTGTCACGGTTTAGAACTGTTCACTATTTAGGGGAGAAAATGTGTAAGCGGCCAGATAGCTCAATCGCTACAGCCGCAGTACATTATTCTGTGGGTCACAGGTTTGAGTTCTGGTCAAGCTAAAAGTTTTTCTCATCCTGTTACTGCAAATAACCATTAGTTTAATTTACTATGCTCTGTAAACATCAGAAATTCAAGTACATGAATCAATATAGTGGGGAAAAAAGGTTTATAAGGTTTAGAACTGTTTCATTATTAAAGAGAAAATGTGTAGCCGGACGGATAGCTCAGTTGGTCTTCTGAAAGTCATGGGTTTGAGTCATGGTCAGGCAGTTTCAGTCAGGGTTTAGAAGTGGTTTTTCAACTGACACATGTTTGATTCATTTAATAGATTGCATTTAATTTGAAATGGACAAAGGCAGTATTGCGTGATACTTTTAAATCTACAAAAAGCATTTGGTACAGTTGATCACACTATACTGCACATGAAGAAGTTCTTTTTTCTTCTTCTTCATGGAACTTCAAGCATCTGCCATATGTAATGACATTCTTGCATGGTTTAAGTCTTATCTCTGATAGCAATTGGTGAATGTGGCTGGTACTCCTTCTCTCTGAATACCTATGGTGTCCCCCTGATGTTCATTTTAGGTCCTCTTTTATGTCTAATATATGTCAATGACATGTCTGCAACCCTAAGCAATAAGCTTTTATTATATGCACAGGCACAAGTATCAGACCTGGGAAGAAAAAATATTACCAGATTGATAAAAAATCTGTGTTCATCTTAAAAGTGTCACAAACCAAAAAAAAAAAATGTAAATGATGTCCCCCTTTAAAAATATACTTAAAGTTAATAGTATATTTTTAAAGGGGGTCATTATTTACATTTTTTTGGTTTTTGACACTTTTAAGATGAACACAGATTTTTTATTAAGCAGTCATATTTTTTCTTCCCAGGTGTGATACTTGTGCCTGTCATTATATGATGATGACTCAGGTATCCTTGTATCTGGTAAAGTAAATCTTTAGATTGGTTTATTGACTATAAATTGTCTTTGCATCTTGGCAAGACAGAGTCTATTCCTTTTGGTTTAAGTTTCAACATAAACTGGGCCAAGCCTCCAGGTCACATGAAAGATGGTACTGCTATAAAGTACACATCTTTTGTTAAGTATTTAGGTGCAAACCTGGATCAAATTCTTTTGGCGTCGCCCTTTGATGCTTTGCATCAATGCTTTTCTTGTTGATTACTTAAATAATCAATGTTGGAAAATGAACTGACATCATTCCTTACCAACGTCACACTGCTATGAAAATACTTTGTTTACATTTCATTAAAAATTCATGAAAATTTCAACATGACGTAAACATGTCAAACAATGAAACAGCAAGTTTAATGTAAATTAGAGACAGGCTGCAGTTCGGACATTTGTTCCCATATTGACTTTGCTTAGAGTTAGGTAAAACAAGAATACCAAAAATTACATTTTCTTTTATTGACATACCAATGGTGGACAGTTAAAGTACCAAGATCTTACTTTAAAATGTACCCGGACACATTAACAAAGTTAATGAAGGTGACCAAAAGGTGTGCCAAAAGTTATGAAACAAATTTATATTGATTTAATACTTGCAAAAAAGAAGTTCTACTAATATGTAATTATACATTTTCCCTGTGTGACAAATTTAATTATAATTTTCTTTCAATGCTAAATTAATGGTACAGATATGTCAATTTGATCCCACAGCATCAGATAACCAAACACTGATTAATTCTGTAACTCTGCTAGTCCTAATAGGCGATCAATTTTCATGTAGTTGAAAAGTCAAGTCACAGGTATTCATGAATAAATGGTTTTGTATACTGTAACTGGTGCCAAAGAATTTTTGTCAGTATTATCAGCCATGTTTACATGAATACACAAAAAATGTCTAGGATCTAGATAAAAAAATATTATTCATTGTACTTTCATAATTAGAAATTATTAATTGTTCAGGAATAGTATTAAGTATGTGCCTAAAAATATGGGACTTAATTTCAATATGAGACAGCACTAGAAAAAATATAATATAAAGATATATACATAGATTCAATATTACTGACATAGCAAAGAAAAGCAGCTATTACAAATTTCTTGTATCTAATTACATATTTTGCTACAAATTTCAATTACAACCTGCCTACTTGATCAAAAAAAAGCTTTGAGACCAATCCAACAAGCCTCTTAAATTTTCATTTATCTATCTAGAAGTATTAACTTCGTACTTGAGACCGTACTCAATTCTTATTTACCTTCATTTATGAAGTCTTCATACTTGAAGGTAAACCATTCTTATCTCCCCTAAATTAGACTTCATACTTCAGGGAGCACATTACTCATACTTGAGGGCACTCCAGCTTTTTTTACCCTTAATTCTGTTGTGCCCATTGGCCAATCAGAATTATATGAGGTAACACGTGACCGCCAGACGCTTATCAGCCTCAGTAGCAAGTTAGCTTTCGGACGCGACACTCGGACTATTAGACTCTAATTAATAATAATTCCTTTGTTTTCAATATTCTCCTTGTTTATTTGTGAAACGGATTTATAGTTTTTGGAAATTGTTTAGAGGGATATATAAGTGTGATATGATAAAAAATTATTGACTCAATTCGATAATTTTACTGATTACAATAAACTTTCGAACTTTTTCTTTGTTTGAAACTTTGATCAACGTACGGTCAACATAACTATGGCTGGCGTTTCTAACGGAAACATTTCGCCCAGCGCGAGCACTAATGGTGCCGAGATCGAGAACGGACATATAGCGCCAGAGCAAAATGTCGTTTACGTTCTCGATCCCTCCTTTTTTGCATCAGAGCAAAAGACTGTCAATTCCTTTGTTTGGAACAAAAATGGCGGAGAAGCTGCCCACGCTGACCAAACTAGCGTGGACAACATCACGTGCTCAAACGATCCAATTATAGCACAGCCCGCTACGCTGCAGTACGGAATCACGCAGCTACGTCACGACCCGGAAACGAGACAACCAATCGAAAACGGGAACCCCGCATCATCAATAAATAGCGTGGGAATTTCTTCACCAACACCGGGTTTTTCCAAGGGGAAAACTAAAGATCATCGAGGCGAGATTAAAACCTTGAATGCCCGTCTTGATTCAAATGAAAGACAAATGCAAGAAATTTCTGGAATACTTGTGTCATTGAATGAAAAATTCACTAACTTTGTGGAAAATGCACCACGACCAAATATCACCACTGAAAGCATCCAGTCAGACGACGACGATGATGAAGGCAATTCGTCGGATGATAATTATTCCGTCCAGGACGGGGTACTTCCGGTAAAAAACACGGATGTAAACAATGAATCAAAATTGAAAAAACTTCTAGATTTCTCCGCGAAAGTTGATGGGAAAAAAGAATGTGGCCCTCCAGTAAACGAGACATTAGCCACGGCAGTACAAAATTCAATAAATGTGAACTTTGACCAAGAAAAGGGAAAGAAATTGGCGGATGCAATAGAATATCCGGAAAACTGTTCACTTTTAGCTCCTCCAAAGGTGAATGAAGAAATATGGCATGATTCGTTTATATCAAAGCCTCTACGTATACAGGACTGTGGACTGCAGAATATCCAAACTTTTCATTGGGAAAGCAATGGTGCCAATGATTAATATGATGGATTCTATGTTGGAAAGTGACTCGCAGGAAAGTACCAAATGGTTCAATCAAGCCTTTGAGGCAGTGGAACTCCTGACATTTGCACATAGAGACGTCACAAACAATCGCAGAAAATTGTTAAAACCAGCACTAAAGCCAGAGTTTGGAAAATTTTGCGCACCCAAAACACCAGTTACAAATCACCTCTTTGGCGATAACCTCTCAGAACGGGTTAAATCGATAACTGACATGAAGAAGTTGGGGAAAGACATTGCCAAATTTGAAAAGAAACTGGGCAAGAAACGAACATATGGCGTAAAGGACATGCCGAGAAACACATATTCATCGAGCAACCCCAACTACAATCAGTCACATGGTCAACCACCGGTCAAGCGCCAAAACACTAGTAAACATTACAATGTGGCCAAGGATTTTTTATCCAGGCAGGGCCTGTCTCACAGGGACAAGCAAAAAACCCAGGGACAGGGCCAGTACCAGAAGAACAAGAAGTGAATGTAAGTAACTTATATCTTTGTAAAAATTTGAGCAACAAATGGGAATCATTCACAGCCGGTAATGTTGCAAACAATATGACCGCATGGTACAAAATAACATCAGACAAATGGATCTTAAGAAATGTTAAACATGGATGTAAAATTGACTTTGATTGCGAAAAGTTTAACATTCCAAATATGATAGGCACACCCCTTCGCATGACATTTTCGAAATCTGAACAAAAAATCATAGAAGAACAGTTAAGCTCATTGTTACACCAGAATGTAATCGAGATAGTTGAACAGTCACCTTCTCAAGTGTTATCGAACATTTTCTTAAGACCGAAGAAAGATGGTACACATAGACTTATCTTGAATCTGAAACCATTGAATCAGTTTGTTACAAAAAACCACTTTAAAATGGAAACTTTAAAACATGTGCTGACAATGATAAAGCCTAACTCTTGGTTTGCAAGCATTGATCTAAGACAAGCTTATTATAGTATTTTAGTTCATAAAGATTATAGGAAATATCTGAGATATTTGTTTAAAGGTGTTTGCTACGAATTCAGAGCTCTTCCTAATGGTCTTTCATGCTCGCCGCGATTATTTACAAAAATTCTGAAACCAGTCTTTTCAACGTTACGGAAGACTGGCCATGCAAATGCTATTTATATCGATGACAGTTTTTTAACTTCTGAAACTTTTAATGAATGTGAAGAGAACATTCTAGACACATTGAAACTGATAGACAACTTAGGTTTTACAATTCATAGTGAAAAATCAATATTAAAACCTACACAAGGTATAAGTTTTGTTGGGTTTTGGCTGAACTCAGTGGACATGACCATAAAATTGACACCAGAAAAATGTGAAAGCATAAAGAGTTGTTGCCATTCAGCATTAAGGGAAACAACTATGACAATAAGAGAATTTGCAAGAGTAATAGGAAAATTGGTCGCAAGCGAACCAGGAGTACAGTATGCGGGGCTCTATTATAAGCATTTGGAAATTGAAAGAGATACCGCTTTAAAAATCAATAGAGGGAATTTTGATGCAAAAATTAAATTGTCTCAAAGCAGTAAGAAATGTTTAGAGTGGTGGATTGATAACATTGATGATTCATTCAGACCAATTAATTTACCTGATCCAGACATGATAATAGAAAGCGATAGCTCGACATCGGGTTGGGGTGGTTATGATAAAACAAATGACATTAAAGTGTCAGGCTTATGGTCAACAGATGAAAAGAGTCACCACATAAACTACTTAGAACTTAAAGCGGCTTTTCTTGTGTTACAATTTTTGTGTGAGCAAAGAGTAAACATACATATTCATTTGTTTCTAGATAATACCGTTGCTATGAAATATCTTTCAAAAATGGGGGGGGGGGCGTGTTAGAGAGCTTAATGATTTGACCCAAGAGATATGGAAATGGTGTGAAAAACGGAACATATGGCTTACCCTGTATTATATACCAGGGGTAGAAAATGTGACAGCAGACAGGTTGTCAAGATTAAAATCAACTGACATGGAATGGTCTGTTACAGATAGTATTTTCATAAAAATTGTGAAGAAATTCAATGTTTCATGTGAGATTGACTTATTTGCATCCGAAGACAATACAAAACTACCAAAATATGCCTCTTTTACCCCTGATTCGAGAGCTTTCGCAGTCAATGCTTTTTCTCTTAACTGGAATAACTTTAAATATGTGTATGTTTTCCCTCCTTTTAGTTTGATCGCAGCAGTTCTCCAGAAAATAGACCGGAAGAAGCAACAGCAGTTTTAATAGCACCATTGTTCACAACTCAGGTTTGGTTTCCGCGATTACTAAAAATGATATGCAAGCCAAGTTACCTACTACCACCGACAAATCACACATTGGTCAACACGAAAATTCCAGGAAAACAACATACGCTGAAACACATGAAATTGGGTGTTTTCCTGATATCAGGAAAAAACTCCTTAGTGATGGACTATCAGAAGACGTTATCGACCTGCTCCTTGCTTCATGGAAAACATCAACATCTAAACAATATTTCTCGTATTACAAAAAATGGGTACTCTTTTGTCGTGAAAGGAAAACTGATAAATTTAACCCACTTATAAAAGAAGTCTTGTGTTTCCTGAAAGAGCTGCATGACAATGGATTACAATATAGTGGTCTAAATACAGCAAGGTCAGCAATTTCAAGTTTACTAGAGTTAACAAGTGATATTCAGGTAGGAAAGCATCATCTAGTTAAAAGATTGTTGAAAGCACTGTTCTTAAAAGCACCATCATTACCTAGGTATAAAAATACTTGGGATGTTCAAAAAGTACTAAAATACATTGTTACACTAGGGAAAAATGAGAACTTGGACTTGATGTCATTATCATGCAAGTTGGCACTTCTTATCGCTTTAACAACAGGACAGCGGTGCCAAACTCTATTTTTTATAGACTTGAGAAATATTGAATTTACCGACGAAGGTGTAAAAATTAGAATTGTGATCTATTAAAACAGTCTGGTGTAAATAGGCATTTAGATGAAATGTTCATAAAGTATTTTAATCAAAATGATATATTATGTGTTGTAAAATGTTTAATTTTTTATATTAAATACACAGAAAATATTAGAAAATCCTCACAACTTTTTGTTGGGATTCAAAAGCCTCATAATGCTGTAACTAAATCAACTATAGCTAGATGGATTAAAAACATTCTTAAATATGCTGGGATAGACATTACCGTATTCAGAGCCCACAGTGTGAGATCAACTGCATGCAGTACAATAAAGGGTCATATCCCAATTGACACTATCTTAAAAACTGCTGGTTGGTCTAAAGAAAGTACATTTCGAAAATTTTATGACATTCCAGTAAAATGTTCTGGTGATTTTGGACATGCTCTATTATCAAAATTAGGACAGTAAAAAATTTATGTTTTTTCAGAAGAGTGATTAATTGATTGATTGATTATTGATTGATTGACTGCAACAAATGCAAAATCTATTACTTCATATATTGTTTTATTGTCATTTTGTAATTTCACTATAAGAATAATTTTATTATGTTATATTACTACATTCTATATATATTACATGTATATGGGCATATATGTACTGGATCTAGAGTAGAATTTAATAGATTACATATACAAAACAATTACATTTCCTTTGTGTTTACAAGATATGATATCAAGTGTAGACATGGACTCTAAAACCTCATATAATTCTGATTGGCCAATGGGCACAACAGAATTGAAAGATTAAACAAGACTTACCTGTTGAAGTTTGATCTTAATTCTGTTGTGCCATTGGCCAGGAATTATATGCCCACCCGAACTCTGTTCCCACCCTTACATTAGTATTTCCATGACTACACTTTCCACTTTAAAGTCTGAGGCTGATAAGCGTCTGGCGGTCACGTGTTACCTCATATAATTCCTGGCCAATGGCACAACAGAATTAAGATCAAACTTCAACAGGTAAGTCTTGTTTAATCTTTCAATAAGACTTCATACTTGACGGTACTCACAATTCTCATTTACCTAAAAGTAGTCTTCATACTGCACTCTTTTGCAAGTCCTTAAGGTAGACTTTATACTTGAGGATGCTCCATTCTTTTATGCACCCTAAAGTAAACTGTAAAGTTGAATGTGCTCCAATTTCACAATTCCAGTCAATGAGTAATGGTTTCAGTGACACCATTCACAATATAATAGCAAAATGTTGATATGGATGTAGGATTTACAACTTCGCATTTTGGGTGAGACTTAAGTGTTTTTTCTTGAAAATTTTGTTTATAAAACTAGAACTGCCACTATCATGGCGTGAATACCCCCGCATACCACTTTGTCAGAATCAACGGTGGCCATTTAGAGCTCAAGGACAACCTCCCTGCCAAATCTGAGGTTACTAAGCCAGTGCATTGCTAAGTTATGTATTCTACATGCTTCAAATGTGAAAATGTCAAAATCAATACATTGCGGACAGGACATTCTTTAACAGTTGAGAAGAAAAGCTTTTTTTTGTCAAGGTCCCTGTGACCTTGACCTTTGACCCAGTGACCTCAAAATCAATATGGGTCACCTTATAGTCATGATCAACATCCATGCCAAATATGAAGACTGTGGGTCAAAGGAATTCTTAAGTTAATGGGTGGACAAACTTTTTGAAGTCAAAGTCCCTATGACCTTGACCTTTGACCCAGTGACCTCAAAATCAAAAGGGGTCATCTACTAATCATGATCAACATCAATGCCAAATATGAAGACTGTGGGTCAAAGGAATCTAAAGTTATTGGGCAGACAAACTTTTTGAAGTCAAAGTCCCTGTGACTTTGACCTTTGACCTCAAAATCAATAGGGGTCATCTACTAATCATGACTAACCTCCATTCCAAATATGAAGACTGTGGGTCAAAGGAATCTTAAGTTATTGGGCGGACAAGCTTTTTGGAGTCAAGGCCCCTGTGACCTTGACCTTTGACCTGGTGACCTCAAAATCAATAGGGGTCATCTACTAATCATGACAAA